TTAAAAATGTGCCCCACCCCACTTTTAAGATGGTGATTACGCCCTTTGTCAAATGCCATCATCAAAATTGTCAGGCACATACTTGTGACATGTCATTATTGTGATTAACAGATGCATAAACATTCTTAGTTAAACAACCAATGAATTACGAACAGAACAGATTGTTTCTGTTTAATATCTGATTAAGAGAACTGAAGTCCTCGTGTAGGTTGAAATGACCCATCATGGCCAAAAATAGAGTTCAGTGTTCCTGCCTTTTCTCAGAGACCTGCTTTGAGGCAGTAACTCCTGTTTCTTCACTCGAGGTGACCCCTATACATCAAATATATCATTCAACGATTCAAGATTCAAAGTGTTTATTGTCATATACACAGATGAAAACATATTTCCCTGAGCAATGAAATTATTACTTTGTCGACCACTCTGAATGCCAGGAGGCAACCACACAAAAAAGAAAAAGCACTTAAAGGACACTAACAAAGTAATAAGGKATAAAGGATAAAAAAGACCACACTTTGAACAAAAAGAAAGAGACCAAATTAGAGATCATAACAGCAATACAGGAATAACATCAATAAAGGGAACAATACAATCAGTGTTTAAGGTGTAAATGTGTAACAGGTAACAGTCTGAAATATGCACATGTATTATTTGTCAGAAGATTTTCACATTCAACTGTTTAGAAGTCTGATGGCACTTGGGAAAAATGAGTTCTTTTATCTTGTTCAATCATGATCAATGTTCCACTTACTACTAATCAAAGGCAACTCTAAACAGGTGGGATTTTAGCCTTGATTTAAAGGACCTCAGTGTTTCAGCTATAGTGCAGTTTTCTATAAGTTTGTTCCAGATTTGCAGTGCATAGAATCTGAATGCTGCTTCTCCATGTTTGGTTCTGGGGATGCAGAGTAGACTAGAACCAAGAAGATGAGATTTAGATTGGACCACAAAAATATTAGCCTGGTAAAAGCCAGCCCCTTGTCCTAYGCTTTGCTTTGTTCAGAGGGTCTGGATCCTCGGCTATTGAGAAGCGATTTCTTGCTGGAGGCGTGGACTCTATTGAAGTTTAAAACAATTGAATCTGATTTACCCAATCACTAATGTTTGGCCTTGATGTATGTAGTGCACCAGCTTCACTGTGACGGAAGTTAAGCTAAGAAGCTAACCGAAAAAAGCGTTGTAAACGACCATCCCCTTCTGGGAAGAGAGACATACTGAACTGTAGAAATAAATGCATTGTTCAAAGTAGTACATCTGAATAAAACATGAATCCACTGGATTTCTTCTCAAAACTTTATTCTCAATCTTCTGACTCCACTCAGGTACAGCACTCAGCAGGCCTCAGTGTAAGACCTTGGGCTGAAAACCCAAACAAAACACAGCAGCCCTGCTCTAAGCAGAGACTCTGCAAAACACTAACAACTTCTTTACTAATAATAATGAATTGACCTTATAATGTATTTCTCTTCCTGGTTAGCCCTGGAGGTGTTACCGTTTACATCAGATGTAGARCGTAACTCARTTTTGTTTAGGCTAAAGAAAGAACACATGWTAAGAAAKGATGGAAGTATAAAATACAATACTGCATCTAACATTCCATTAATCAGTTCTTTCAGAACCAAACAAGATGGCTGTAGATGGAGCTTCAGGCTTTGTGAGACAAATTYAATTTATTTGGAAGCCTTGTCAACACAACAGAAATGTTACGATTATAACAAAACCTGTGTTGTGTACAAAGTCAGACCGTCCTGGATGGGAGGCAAAATGTACAAGAGAATAGGAGTCCAGTTTTTTTAACTACTCATCGTGTTCAGAAAACAATCTTCTTCTTGTAGTACAATATAATGGTAWCGTTTGTGTAATGGTGGCACCAAGGAGTACCAATCCTGCCAATTTTGTGAAAAGACATACCAACAGTACTCAWTGCATCATGGTCTCAAAAACCATTTAGCATAACTTCAGGTCTCTTGTGTGGTTTCCTGSTTCCTCAGGTTTTACTCAATCTGAGACAGCACCTGGTGCGATCTTTTATTAAGACAGCACCCATCCACGCACAACATATTTCTCTACACTCCTTTTCACTGAGGTCCACCTGTGGACACTCCAGACCCCCCACTGGTTCCTTGATCCAACATGTGAAAGAATAGCTTGGATGTGAACTCCGACTCAGTGCAGATCTATTAGATCAGCTTTAAAATAGAACTCTCAAATCCATTTTCAGAGTCAGTCTAGTATTTTTCAGCCTTATATCATCACGTTATCTCAAATATTTAGACTCTGGTCTAATGGACAAAACTGCCTCAGGTTACACACATACAGTCCCACATGTACATCAGGCATGTTGTTGGTTGGATGAACACAAATACTTCTTTTGTAAAACAAATCACGTGATACAGACTTGGCAGGGATAAAGCAGCTGGGTCACAGAATCGGTTGAAACAACAAAAGCTGAAATTTATCTTCCTTCCAGTTCCAGTAAAACACTTCAGTCCCCAAAGACCGGTCTTGGGAAGAGGTCATCTATTGTTTGTGCGATGACCCACTTTTCTTTTTATATACAATTCACTGTTTTTTTTCATTAACACTTAATGTGGGAGGAATCATTGTAAATAATTATGCTGACTCTCTTATTTTATTTAATTTTCTCTGTTTAGGTTGTGTTTGTGGTTCAGTACTTCAAAAAGAGACATGCGAGTCTTCCTGTGAGCCACTCAGATGCAGGAACAGCTGACACAGAAGAGGCTGCTCCACAGATAAATCACTCTGTGGAGACCAGGGATAAATATATCCTGTCACAGGTAAATGATGCATTGCACTGTCACACATGAAGGCCTTTTCATTTAAATTTAATGCCATCTTAAAATGAGTTTAACCCTGCAAAATACTACAATACACCTAGAATGTTTCATTCTTGTTGTTATAAATCAGTCATGGTCAACTTAAATTGACTTTATTTTACAAAAAATTATAAATTTATCATTTTTTAAACATCGAACATGTCAAATTTATACCAATTTTCCATAAATATTAATAGTAAAATACAGTAAGTGACTGCATAAATACTCTCTTTAAATTGTCTGTAGTAATTTAAGTCAGAAAAAAAAACATAATTGAAAATTATAAGTGATAGAATGAATACAAACGGATTTTCTTCAACACTTTAGACATCTCCAGAGTTTCAGAAAAAAAGGTCATTTTATGTTAAACATGACAAAAGCATAAAACATCAAAGTGGGTGAATAATTTACTGTATGATGTAAAACAACATGTCTGCAGCTGTTGATTTTCTGACGTTTTTAATCTTTTCAGATATTTTAAAGTGAATTTCTGGATACATAAACATCATCTTACTTGTTGCAGATAGCTCTTTAAACATCCTCACTTTGGGCAAATAGTTTAATTCTAATCAGCTAACATGGCTAGGGCTATGATTAAAGTGAATTGATGCAGTCTTAAAACATCTTTGATTACAAAAACTTTATAGTTACTCATTTTTAAGCAATTGTAGAATTAAAAAAAACATCAGATTGACATTTATGCAAACAGCAGTACAACTGTGGTACTGCAGCCTGTGGCACTTTTTGCAGGAAGGTGCTATTTTTTCTGTTAGATTAATAATAAATATTTTTTTAGACTGGAACTGTTTGAAAACTTCAGCAATACACTTTGACCTCACTCAGATTAGCTTCTAGATTGGCRTTTATTCAAGAATCAAACTCTTTCTGCAAACGGAGGTTGTTCAAAAAGCTTTCTACATCATAGGATATCAGTTTTTTCTAACCTTTTCACAAAACCCACTAAAAAAATCTGAATGACTTTCTATTTTACACACTTTCTCAGTTAATGATACAGCAAGCAAGATACAGCAGTGTTGTCTTAGCACGTTGCACTGAATGTTTTTTTTTTGTTTTGTTTTTTGTTTTAGAGTCCAGGATCCTTCACAGAAGTCACATGACTATGACCCACCTACCCCCTGCTTACATATAACATAGAAACAAGGGGAATATAGATTCACTCTGTTAAAGACAAGGACATTGACCTACAAATACCATCTGTAAATAATTATTACCACTTTAATAAACACAAGAAATCCAAGAKTTTCCTGTTAATAAGGCCCCAGTGTTAATGGTACATAATACCAGATAATATCTACAAAAGACTCACTGACATGTGATGTGTTTGAAAAAAAAAAAGATCAATTATTTGATATAACGATGCTTTTCTGTAAGGTCAGCACCTCGAACTGTGTTGTTATTTAATGTAACATTTAGTAATTTTGTAGAATTTTTGAAGTGTGTGCCATCAGATTATCAGAGTAATTTATGTATGGATTGATATAGTTAGAAGTTAAAATGATGTAAAATAAAGAAAGTAAACCTGTGTTTTATTTGTAATCAGTGGTCATAGTTTTACCTAAAAGGTTTACCTTTAACAAAGGCTTAGGGAAGTAAGTTTTAAATGTTTCACAAAAAATAAAAAATTAAATTAAATTAAATTAAAATATGTTAGGACAAGTTTTTGTTTCCAACTTTGTGTCCACTTCTTTCCATATTAAATGGTGAACTGATCCAATTCCAAATTCATATTAAATATACTTTTGAAATGCACAAGTTTTTTTCCTCCACATCAAGGTTGTACTAAAGTTTTTTTTACAGTCATTTGGTGGTTTGATCACATGTCCAAGTTTTTGGTTTGTAGTAAATAYATTTACTTGTAGTTTTATGCTTTTGTTATTGTTTTATTGTAATGAATTACAAAACGTGTCCATGTTCTTTTTCTGGATTATCTCTCTTCTAAATAAAATTAWTCTAACAGGCTTATAAACAGTGTTCGGGTTTTGATCTTGCACAACCTTTTTGGTGATTTTTTTAAAGATTTAATGACGTCTCTTGTTAAACACTCATGGGTGCAGCTTGTTGGTGTCTTCAGAGTGTAAAACTTCATTGTGTTAAAAAGCACTTAGAGGATGATTGTTCATTAGATGTTGCAACAACTGCAGCTGATTTGCAGAAGCAAAATAACTAAAATGCATACTTTGATTTGACAAACTGTTTCTCTTGGTCACATTTTTTAAATTTATATTTTTGTATAATATCACATTAGAATAAATTATGAGTCAAATGTGTTTCTATTTCAACAAAGAGTTAGCATGTTTGTTGCAGTGCACTTTTACTATTTGATAGTTTGCTCACTTAAAAACTTTAGCTTTGATTTTTACAACAGATACAGAAACATGAAGGCTTATGCTCATATTTGCATAGGCTTTAAAATGCTTTATTTGCATTAACTTTACTTATCCACTAGGTGAAGCTGTTTGACATCAAACACTGACTCATTTTTGTTTAAATCCTTCCCAACATGCTCTTCAAAGTTTACATTTTCATATGATGGAATTTCTTTTGTTTGTTTATGCTGTTTGACAGGATGGCCGAACATGAATGCGTGTATCAAATCAACAAAATGTTTTATTTTAAATACAGTTCAGCTTTACAGTTTTACAGCCCAACATTACATTTGGTACATGCAAATCTCTCTCAAASAAACCCAGTAAGGCAAGAACACTTTTTAAAACATAAACACTTTACATACAATAAGACACACGGAGATACATAACATTTAAACTGTATGTGTTGATTTTATTAGCTTCTGGTTTAATATAATTTGAAGCACACCAGAGAAGATTTCGATGCCTAAAGGAAACATCAGCAGATGAGGAGCGAGGTCTTTATGTTTCATCTCCTCCTTTTAGTAAGCCCTCATCGCTCCTCCTTTCATCTTGGTCACCCCCCCCCCCCCCAGGGGAGAACACTGGACCTGTGTGTGTACATGTGTCAAGCAAAGAGGGGGGTTGGGGGGGGTCTTGCCAGAGGATCCCCATATCTTGAAAGGGAGAGATGACAAGATTAGATAATAGTGTGTGTGTGTGTGTGTGTGTGTGTGTGTGTGTGTGTGTGTGTGTGTGTGTGTGTGTGTGTGTGCACGTGCGCAGGGTGGTGGGGTGTCTGCCAGTTGGGATGGTCATTTCCTCTTTAAAACAGGCCAGTAGACCCAGATGCGCTAATCCTTTAGCTTACAGCCAAATCTTTATTATTTCTAAAAAGATCGTTCTCTGAAGCTGTTTATGAAAAAAAAAAAAAAGAAACTCCTCCTCACACTTTCAACACACAAAATAATCTGATCAGCAACAATACACTATAACACAATGGCTACAGGTGCATGATCGTTGGTAGCATAGCTTGCTAAATAACTCGAAGCAGCAGCACTTTATGAGGCAAACATACACAAAAGTTCACATCCTGCTTCTGTGTAAGAAGAAACAAGCTCAGCGTTASTCTTGTTGATTCAGAGCTGGATCCATGTTAATCCCACCTGCCTGGTGCAAAGAGAAGTCCAACTGTTGACATATTAGGTGGGGTGACAGGAAGAGAAAAAACACATTGTTGGTCAATTAGAATATACATTCRTGTCAGCTGACACAATGGAATAACGCCCCTTTTCTACTGATTGCCTTCAATCTGTAAAAGTGACAAGAACACAAGTTAAATCTGAATTATACATTCAAAAAAAAACAGATGTGTTGGATTTAATCAAACAAGTTATGTCAACAGTTTCCACTCAGCTGAGTTGAGTAAGTGTGAAGCAACGTTCACATTTTCTTTAAAAATAAATGTGAAAGYTGCTTTACACTTACTCAACTCAGTWAATCCAACTATCTGTTTTTTGAGTGTAGGCTTGGCAAGAAAATTGCCCAGTTCAAAGCTTAATAATGCGGTTATCCTGATATGTCTTGTAGTCATTCCAGTATCAGCTGTTTTAAGAAATTTGATCAAATCAATGTCAATATTACATATCAGCACGGGCCTGTTCACAGGCACAAAGTTTCTGTCCAAGGCCTGACTTCAGAGTAATGATAGGTTCTGTTTGCATGGTGCTTTCTGTAATCAGCAAAGAGCTAAAGTCAAAATCAACAAAAGGTGACAGACGACACACACACACACACACACACACACACACACACACACACACACACAC